CATTAAAACTACATTTTGCCTTTCTATGCATAATCTCATTAAAAAAAAGAAAGAAAACAAAAGAAAAATCATGACTACTCCATTTACAACACAATACCCCTTTTTCTTCTTCTTCTTCTCTGTTTTCTTTTTTTCATTTTTTGTTTCACTTTTTTTTTTTTTCTTTCTAACACGAGCTGCTAACCGAGCTCGATCTCTGCAACGAAGGATTATTCAAGAACTCGATACAATCCTCGATAGCCTCTGCCCTATGAGAGTCGATAGTCTCCGCATACGAACGTGATCTCGCCAAGCTTGGCGACACGGCCCGAACATCATCTCGGGCCCGACATCGTGGGCAGGGCCTTCGACACTTTCGACCCAACAGTTCGGAAAAAATTGCCAAACGAAAATCTCGGCCACCTGATTTGATTTGATTGTTGTGTCAACTTGCATTTTGCTGATATGATTTTTTGTCTATTCGTGATAATTGTTATTTTTAAAGACATTTGGTAGAATTCATGTGAATACGTGATGCAACAAAAGATATAATCAATCTTTATATGTCTCAGCTAGTTACAACTTTTCATGTTATACTCAATCTTTATCTTAGCTAGCTGCAGCTTTTCTTGTAATATGTTGTAGTGCTGTATTATATTATTGTTTGTTCTTAAACCATGATAATAAATAAATAAATAATAATAATAAATAAAATTCAGTAATATTTATTCTGAGCAGCGATTTCAGTTTTTATTCTGAGCAGTGATTTCAGTTTATGGTTTGGTGCAGGGGAATATTGTTCTCGGCGAATTTCATGTTTGTTGTCCGAATCCAGGATTTCGTGCTGGGTTTTATCCCCTGTAATCTATCTTTTTATTCGTAAGTGATCTCTAATTTATTATATATATTTTTCTATTGGAAATTTATTAATTTGTAATTACTTGTATTACCTGTAGAAAAAGGAGTTAAGAGACAATCATATTGTCCGAACAAGATGCAACCGAGTTTGCAGAATTCGCAATACAGGACTACAATGAGAAACATGTTTTTAGTCCACTCAACTCTTTTTTTTTTTTAGGTTTATTTTTTATTTTTTCCACATACTCGTTGGTAACCTCTTTCTTTCTTTCTTCTTCATTTTTTCTATTCGCTTGATAAATATAAAAATCCAGGGAACAAACTTAAAGCTTGAAATGGCTCTAGAATGCAATAAGTTTGAAGGCCTTGGTGTCTTAATGGACTTCACTAAAAAGAAGAGGACTTGGGTGCATATGAACTTGGTGGCTAGAGTGGGCCCCAAAGAGGAATTACTCGTTTTCTTTGCCGAGTTCTATTTACCTGATGATGAGTATGTGCTTGCGACGTTGGCACTGGTGAATACTTGGGACCGTCAGCCTGTTAGTAAAAAGGATGGTAAATAAATACCATTGGTTACAATTATTATTGCATTATTATTTTTGTTAACATGTTAATATTATTCTTAAAAAAAAATCATTTGTGGGCGAATCTAGAAAATACAATGAGAGGGGGCCTAATTATTTAATAAAAACATATAAAATATTATAAAGAAAAGTGCAAATACAAAAACATGCATTCATATATAGTTGTTCTTTACGAGTTTTCATGGCCTGATATCGCTCGATAATAACATCATTACCGATTTTCAAGAAGGTTTCTTTTTCTACATAAACTAATAGTCTATCATTGAACCAATCATCACTCATTCGATTGCTCAATCTTTCTGCAAATATGCTCTTCGAACTTCGTCTCGATTGAGAGGGATCAGATTGAAGTTGAGAAGAATCGAATTCCTCGATCACCATTAAGCTTCCGATCATATTTTCTTTATGCCCAGTGATACCAAAATTTTTCTCAAATCTATTTGGATTCAAAATATCTCTTTTTGAGGCATTTTCACAAATACTTTTTTTTTTAAAATATCTCTCCATACCTGATATATAAAAAATAATTTATAAATTTACAATTAATAAAATTCTCTATTTTGACATATATATCACAATTTAAATATCTACAAACACAGGGATTGAATTTACAATTTCTACATAAAAATAATGAATTTACCATTACCTATAAAATGTAATGTAGATGAATTTTTAACTCAACCAAAACATAAAGGAATTTTATTACCTTGCAGAACAATTGGATAAAAAATTTCTCTCTTTTCCCTCTCCTAATTACAAATCTGTTGTCGTTGTGCTTCTTGTGTGACTGAAGTAGTGCCCAGGACACTATTATTAAATTGGTTTAATATTAATTTAGTTGTTAAATCCTATATCATATTAGTATACTAGTTATTGGACTTACAGTTAGATTTGTTTTTTAATGGACAAATCCTATATAATATGGGCTATATAGATGGATATAATATGGGATATATATATATATATATGTAGGTCTTTTTTTTTTTATCTAGGCCACACTGATCTACATATAGCTACGCCCAGTGATTCTGTGCAGGGCTTTGGTGTCGTTTTTGCCCGGATGGTATTCTTCACCCAATGGGATTTTTTCAATTTCTACCCACCTCATGCTTGAAAATTTGCTGGAAAAAGGGCATGAAAACTAAATTATGCTTTTGACTAAATGAATTTAGACTGCTTTTGACTAAATGAACTTAGAACTCTGGATGTAATGTAATATATATGATACGAGTATTCATGCCATATTTACATGTAGAAAAACATCTAGATTTTTGAGTCGCATGCCATTTCATCACAAGTAGAATTAATAAACACACAACTAGATAAGTTTTTTGTTTCAATGTCTCTAGAATTCTTCAATTAACATTCCATTTGAGATGCTCGTACTTTTAATGTGTTTTTGGTGGATACCTTCGCTTCTTTATCTTTTGGTGCTCTTTTTGTATTTTTCTAATCATTTAATTCAAGACTATGGTTTCAAAGCCGAGTTTTTATTCTTTCTTAAGCTTTATTTCGTGATATATAAATGAATAACTTATTCTTCATTTTAATATAATTTACCATTTAAAAGATAGTGACCAGATAGACTAAATAGTTTTACTAATGGTCAAAAACTAACATTGAAATATATCAACTGTTTTTTAGAATTTATTTGTATATTATTGACAACCATGATTATTTTTTTTAACACTTTTTTTATTTTGATTTCTTTCTATAATGAAATTATTGTAAAATATATTTTTATTGCAGCGTATGCTAAATAGATTATAAATTCTTATAATGGAAATTATAAAAATCTTAATTATAGAAAGGATTGAGATTTTTATATTTGCTAAATTAAAGTTGTTTAATTAGTATACAAAATTATATTCTAAAAAAAAATATGTGTATATTTTATAAAATATTTATACACTATTTAATTTTAAATTTATTTACATGTTTTAAATTGATTACATAAATAAATAATACCAACGTGCATTAAATATTTTTCATTACATAAAATAAAAAAAAAAAAAACAAGAAGAAGTATAACTTGTATAACATTTATAAATAATAATGTCAGTGTATGACAACAAATTTTATAATAAAATAATAATTAACTATTATATAGTGAACAAGAATATGTAAAACTGCTATATTCTCTTATATCAAGGAATAAATATATATACTAAAATTAAAATTTATATTAGTATAAATGTGTTAATATATTAATTATTTTACAAGGTAGCCCTAACATGATCACATTTAATGTTCTGACTAAAAAAATAACGGTGATTAAAAGAGGTGGAAAATATGTAGATTATAACACTATTATTTTTCAGACTTAACGTAGGTTAAAAGATGTGGAAAATGGATGATACACTGTTGTTGTTTAGACTTAAACGGACAGAACCCTCGAAAATAACTCATTTAATATCTTTGTCCGTGCATCGCATAAGGTATTAGTCATGTTTCCCAAAACTTACGGCTTAATAGAACCAACTTAGCTATCTGCGCATAGGAATTGACGTCACTTTATTTTGTACTAGTATTTTGCCCGTACAAATGCACGAGATAAATTGTCCGAACAAGATGCAATCGAGTTTGCAGAATTCGCAATACATGACGACAATGAGAAACATGTTTTTAGTCCACTTAATTCTTTTTCTTAGTTTTTTTTTATTTTTTCCACAGACTTGTTGATAACCTCTCTTTTCATTTTTCTTCATTTTTTTCTATTCACTCGATAAATATACTAATCCAGGGAACAAACTCAAAGCTTGAAATGGCTCTGGAATGCAATAGGTTCGAAGGCCTTGGTGTCTTAATGGACTTCACTAAAAAGAAGACGACTTGGGTGCATATGAACTTGGTGGCGAGAGTGGGCCCCAAAGAGGAATTACTCGTTTTATTTGCCGAGTTCTATTTATCGGATGATGAGTATGTGCTTGCCACGTTGGTACTGGTGAATACTTCGGACCGTCAACCTGTTAGTAAAAAGGATGGTAAATAAACACTACTGGTTACAATTATACAAGTTTTTATTTATTGCATTATTATTTTTGTTAACATGTCAATATTATTCTTAAAAAAATTCATTCGTGGTTCTGTGCAGAGCTGTGGTGTCGTTTATGCCCAGATGGTATTCTTCATCCTGTGGAAGGGTGTTTTTTTTAATTTCTACCCACCTGATGCTGCAGTTGAAAATTTGCTGGAAAAAGGGCATGAAAACCCTTTGCACTGAGCCGTGTAAATTATGCTTTGACTAGATATGATATGATGTACTATAGGATATGCGTTTTCATGCCATATTGTATTCTTTAATTCAAATTTTATGATCATGATCTTCTGACAGAACAAATATATAGATAATAGAGGAAAAAAGAACCATAGTCGCAAAGAACATATGAACAAATGAGTACTAAAGCGTCAGTCATTATTACATTTGCAAAAGAAGTCAAGATATTATGCTAGCATATTCATTAATTATTACATTTGCAAATCAAGTCAAGATATTTGATGGGTCTACTCTCAGATCTAGAGTGAACAGGTGGTAAGGAGCTCAGATCTGTTTGAATCGCCTTCGAACCATTGCTAGACCGCGAGAATACCTGCAAAAACTCAACGCCGGAAGTATTTTCGGCGAAGAGCCTCCGACGCTCAAGTCAGTATGAGAGAGATGAAGGGATGCTGCGCAGCAGCTATGAGCATTCGGTATTGGCCGCCCGTTTCATTAAAAGAAATAAATATAATTATTTTTTTTTTTTTTCTAAAAAAAGGCCGAACTTCCGGTTCTGGTTTCAGTTCCAGTTCGAAACTGGAACCACCAGTTCGAAATGTATAAATTATAAAGTATTGAACATGATCCAGATTGGTCAAAATCACTGACCGATTCAAGACCCATGGTCAACGGGCCGGTTTGTGCCGGTTCGGGCTGAACCGGAGGCCGACCTAGCCCATGACCATGTCTACTCTGTTTCAATAATAGCTATAATAATATGCAGTCTCGGGTTAAAATTTTTTCTAGCTACACCCTGATCTCGTGAGTATAATCATCCTAAGAGAATTTATTTTCATTCCCTATATTANCATTGAATTATTTACAGCCCTACATGCGAGTCTTTATTAAATATATTTACACTTGGTCAAATTTTCCATTTTTTGAAATGCGAGGTGCACCTGAAACAAATTTGCCACCTTCTTTGTCTTTTATAGGGCAAGTGCTTTTTAATTAGTTGAACCCTTTTCAATTGCAGGGAAATTTCAGGAATTGAATGAGTGTGCTGGGTAGATGTCAGTGTGCTTTTATTTGGTGCGTGTGTGTCAATTTCATGTGTGTAGGTTGCGTGAGTGGGCTTCTAGGGGTGGCTTTTGTTAAATAATTTTGGGTTAAGTTGTGAGCCTTTGAGAGTGAACTTTAGAAGTTTTGTTTTGTGGTTGTTTGTCTCCTTGACGGAGTTCGTACCCCTTGCGTGTGATGACAAGGGAGTTGGTCCAGTCTTCTGGTTCCAGTGTGTCATTTGACACTTCGGTTGTACTATTTTGAGTTCTTAAGCTATTAATATAATTGTCGTTTGGAAAAAAAAAAATNACTTTAGGGGTAGAGTTATTATTATTGGGCTTTTAAAATAGTGTTGGGCTAAGTAGTCCCGAGCCGTTTGATCTATTTTCGAGCCTTTGACCCTGTTTTTCGCGTAGAATCCGTTTTTGCCATATTAAATGATTTTTCAAATTATTTCTTAAAAATTCAAGGGTTCCAAATTCCACAAAATTCCACGAGTTACTTAGTCGGCGATTTTTCAACTAAGTATGAATTCTCGTTTTGAATTCCCGATTTTCAAGATAAGTATTTTTTAAATATTATCTTGAACAAATTGTAGGTATTTGAGGAGTCGAGCCTCAGCCAACCTACATCCGATCTTGTGAATTATCTGCCAAACTAATCAGGTGGGAGTTAATTTAAATACCATGTATGTTAATTTCTATAAATGTTTGGCTTGATGATCTAGGTATGCATGTGAACCAGTAGTCTATGAGGTCTAACTCTAGCCTTCAGAGAGCTTAAACCGTGTGCAGGTAACCTCTGCGGTTGCTCCCGTTGCGTGTGTCAACGGCTCCCATCCTTCGGTGGCGGCTTGTTTCCTATCTTTTTTTCGGGATTGATAGGTTAGGTGTAATCACATGAGCATGGTTGTGTTTAGGGAGGGTAGACTAGTCGATTTGCTTATCTACTGCGACCATGATTTCAAGTCTTTATAGTGATTATACTTCATGGTATGGTGAGCTAAGTTGCTCACCCCCACTATTAACCATCTTTCAGGTTGAGTTGCTGGCCGTGGCGAAAGACGAGCGAGGCGGGGTCATTATATGTGCTGAACTTTTAATGCTTCTGCTTGATGATTATTATTTGTTTATCCCATGTTAGACTTGTTTTTTTCCTCGTGTGAAGACTGAAAAATGTTATTTGGGATTTTGAATTCGTGTTTTGAGATTTGGATTATTATGCATGCTACGGTTTGAATTTGGATTTGATTGGATCATGTTGGTTTTATTTGATTACTTCGCATGATGGATTATATGTCGTTAGCATGAGATACTTTTTTTGGGATGGCTGTTCCACTTCCAGAAGTTTAAGTGATTGACTTAAACCGTTTTTATGTGGAAAATTGAGTAGCGCCCGTTAAATAATCTTTAAATTGATTTTTGAACAATTAACTCTGATTTTTGGAAAATAAAATGTTATTTTCACAAAAAAATAACTGGGCGTTACATTAACTTTATTAAAGTTATAACATAAACTCGAAATCACAACTAAAGAAAAATGATAAAATCTCAAAATTACGATTTTGCCCTCTAATTATATTCTTTAATCTTTGTGATAACCCTATTCTCTTTTTTGCACCATAATGTTTTCTCTAACTTCAAAATATATTTTTTATATTTTTTTAACTAATTTATGTGGAATTCTAGCTATATGTTAATAATTTATAAATTCATCAATTATATAGTCGAGTTGAGGGAACTATACTGCAATATAATTTTTTTGTTCCTAAAAATTTTGAAAAACAGCCATATAAAAGTTTCATTGTAATTTAATTTGATCTCTGGTAAAATAGCCAATGAAAAATTTTAATTAAAGCTATATATCAATGAAATGTCCATTGATATTTTCAGTGGAATAACATACCCTTGCATTTTCATTGCAATATAACATCTTATTTTTGTATTCCTTCTTAAACATTAAAAATTTTATTTTTTTATTTTTCTTATTAATTAATTGTGTTTACAAATATTGTATAGAAAATATATTAAACACATGAAGTTTTTAGTCCATTTTTATTTCTTAAAAATCACCCGTTCTCTTATCTCAAGATTATTTATTAATTCATCAATTGAGTTATATTTCTTACATATTAAATAATAAAAATAATTATTTTATATATGTAATATGATATTTGAATATTATCTTTAAAAAAACTAATGACAAATAAAAAATTATAATAATAAAGTTTATTTAAAAAAAAAAAAAAAGTTCTAACTTACATTGATAAAAGTGCAAATAACTATTGTCTATCACCTAAAACTTACATATAGAACTAATAAGCACAAAAAACTAACAAGCGTTGAACAACTCGACTCGTTTACATCGATAAGTACAAGTTTTATATTTAATTTTTTTCATGGACAAGCATTAGTTGCGGTATATAGTGACTTGTGGGATAGAAGGTTCATATGTAGGTTTGAAGCTTTAGATAAATGGCACTAGGACAGACATTGAGGCTGACTAACCGTTAAGCGGGTTGACCTTGTCATACATTTTTTTAATAAAACTTATTGTGTATACAAAAAATGTCATACTTTTCTTTCATGTTTCGTGTAGAATATGATATTTCAATTTGAAAGTATGTATATCAGTTGAAAAGTGTGACTCCCGTAACAACAATCTTACCGAACTTGCATGTGAGTAATTTTGAAGACGTACATCAAACAAACTAGTTTTATGCCCATGCTAACATAACAAACAATAAAAAATGTGAAAGTGTAACAATTATTATTCTACAATATTGATATGGGTTAGTTTAATCAGTCTTGTTTGTTACTCATTGTTGATTCTATGTCATATCATATGGTTTGTTCTTAGTGGTGGTTGTTTGAGTAGATTTCATTCCCTTTAGTATTTTCAAGATGTCGAAACAAAGAATTTATGAAGCTAAATTTAACATTTTGGAACTTGAATATTTAAACATGTGAAATAGGAGCATTAACTTGGATATATATAGACAAGACAAGACAACTTTGCATTTTCCTACATATTTTATTGCTTTCATTCATGTGCATGAAGCTCACTTGAATATGTTATATTCTCTCCAATTCCCTATATTTATTTGGAATCACTACTTTTAGGATTTAATTTATCATAACTTAATGTATGTATGTGAGTAAAATCTAGAATGACTTACTCTCATTAAAACTAATCATAGAGTATAATTTAGTGACTCATTCTAACTAAAACTAAACATAGACTATAATTTAGTGTGTGTGTGTGTGTGTGAAGAAATTTGAATTAATGATAAAGCTTTTAGTTTTTCCTAGTACTTGACTTGGTTTGTTCTTAGAGTTTTCATTTCAACTTTAATGTCCATTGGGTGTTGAGGTATACTGTTATATTGTGGCAGACATGAAGAAATGAGTAAGACTTTTGATTTGAAACGTATTTGCATGAATAAGAGATTTGGACAATATTCAACAGATATTTGGCTAGTGGATGTTAGATTCCTCACTAGGGAATCTTAATTCTAAGTAAGAATAAAATTAAAAAGAAAAAGAAATCAATGTCAGGTTAAGAGACAGTTAATTTTGTAATGAAATCAACTATTTATTTATAGTAAAATAGCAAATAGAAATCAATGAATATTATGCAAAATAATCATGAGCATTCAGTTATGTATAAACAAAACATTTAATTAAAAATAACCAACTCTGTATTTGTGGTATATACCCCTTAAACACAACTAAACAATATATATATATATATATATAGAGAGAGAGAGAGTTAGGATCATGTGAGAATGGTAGATAGTGAAAGAAATAAGAATGATTCTGTATAATTGGATCAGTACGATCAATGGACATCATTAAGTCAAAAATGATTTAAGAGGTCAAAATTGTAGTGGCAAATCTGTAAATATGTTTTTATATAAGGACAATGGTGTAATTTCATCCAACCCTAAA